CTACCTTTCCAGGACTGGGCTCAGAAAAGAATGTCCGAATATCACAAAGATAAGTAAAATTTTATGTTACTTTGCAAACTTAAGTTAATCTTTCATTCTTACTGCAAGTGGCAGATTTCAAGAAGTTTTACCTCATGTGAGGTCTACCTTTATCGCCAAAAAGGCGAGAAATGAGTTGTACCGATTTTGGTATTATGTTTTTCAATTACTCGCGCGTAAAACTAAAGTTGATGTATAATAAGAATGTGCGAATGTATTAAAATGTGTACTTGAAATATTGTAAAAGTTATTGTATAAATTTTTATTTAAAACATTCTGGCAAGAAAGAAGTTTTAGTCTGAAAGACTTTTGAAATGTAGTATTTCAATGTAGAAGAATTGGCACTTGCTTTGAAAAGAATAGAAGTTAACAATGTACTACTAATGTATGTTTTCAAATGCGTAAAATTAACGGCATGTTAATATGTTCTTATATACAATGTGAACTGTTATTTTAAATGTTAAGAAATACCTGTGATATGGTAAAAGTGAAAGTAATGCCTTAAAAATTTTTAAACTTATTCGTGTGACTGTAAAAAAAAGAGACCAAATCATTGTGAATATGTGTTAAAGGTTGAATGAATGTAGTTAGGCTCTCTGACGCTACACTTCAGAGTTAGCCACTTTCAGAATAGTACCTCAGGGTTTAGAGATGAAGATAAGGGTGTGTTACGAGGTCTTGTTATGTTGAATTTTAACACGTTAGTGTTTTGATTGTAGAGGAAGTGTTGAACACTGGTACATAAACACATTCGTGTTTGGTGTTTTCTTTTACAACACATGTCAGAGAGCACGGGGAGAGATAATTAAATAAAAGTCATGAATGAAATAAGAATGTTTAGAGAAAATATAAATATTCATGTACTTGCCATTTCATTGTGTAACATTTCATTAAACTACTATCTCTGGAAGGAACCAGATTTGAATAAAAGCTCCTGTTTAGATGCAGTACAGATGAAAAGTAATTGTCCATGGAGCTGATAATGTAAAAACAATTTTTTTTTTTAAATTTCTAGTTTCTAGTGAGAAATGTTTGTAAAAGATTGGCCTCGCGTTAGATTCTAGAGCTAAAAGTTTTCAACAAGGTCGTTTTAGACCTCAGTTTCAAACTAATTAACTCTGGCGGGAAGTATGTAAGGATCTTAAGTTTTACTAACGTTTATTTTATTTTAAATCTTTACTATCACTTTTTTATTTTCTACTTCCGGCCAGAATTAAAAGCGTTAACTTATTTATGCAAATTTGTCTGGCGAACGCCAAGTACTTAAGTGTGGCTTTTTGCCAAGCGAGAGAGAGGAAGGAGTTAGTAGAAGCAGGCCGCTTACCTTAGCAGTTTTACTCAGTTGCTGGTTGCCTTCCAGGCCAGAGGTTTAATCCTCTTGATAATTTTAAACGTATTGTAGTGTTAACAGTTCTCTGTACTACATACGGCTTCCTGTTAATATAACGGCCAATCTTCCACGTAGGCCCTTGTTATTATTCCAAAGTTAAGTTAGAGTTTAGTTAATATTTTTATATTCTTACGTTCAGACCACAAGTGGCTGGTCTCTGTATTCCGAAGTCCGGAAATCTTTGTAAAGAGAGAAAAATAAAGGGTTTCGTATACCCTTCCTGTGTATCTTGTCTACTTCCCACATTTATTGAACATAGCTTTAGTAAGCTCACTGTTCCGAGTCAGGTTCTTGAATGTTCCCAAAGCAAGTAAGGCGGAACATTGAACCTGATAACTGAATCCTAATATTACTAGATAATCCATTGGCAACAGAATTATCTAATAATAATACGATTCAGTTTTCAAGCAAAACATCGGAGCTCATCTTATTTGAGACTCCGTCTTTCTCCGGCTGGATTTATACAATTTCATTCAAAAGCTAAGAAGTACCAGTAGTTTGCGCAGAATTAAAAACCTGCTGGAACTTAATTTGCAACCAACCTTTTAAAAGATATTTAGTCTTGCAATCATTCTGAAGCGCGATGCATGTGGAAAACAGGAAATCTACCATTACTGGTAATTTCTTAACAGATAAAATTGACTATAGGGTAACTTTTAGAATATATCTGGCATTTAGTCTGAAAACAAACCTCTATATCAATAAAAAATTTAGTAAAATAATATGATAAAATTTTAATAAAATGAAGCAAAGGTAAACTAAGTTTTTTTAAAGGAATTTCTTTCTAAGCGTTTGCCTTTTCTGTAAATTCTACTATGGAAAATTGGCCAAACATAATGGGACACTTATGATAGGATGTACAAAAAATACATAGCGTAAAATCTCGCTCTCATCATTTAACGCTACATTCTTCTGCGAAATGTTTAAAACATTATCCTTAATTTTAGAACGTTTAGGATTGAATTCGATATCTTTGTAATTCTATATTCTATGTAGTTTCATTGCATAGATCGGGTTTCATCTTTTTTAGCTAAAACAGATTGCTATTTAAGATTGTTGTCTTGAGTCTTCTTGTTTCGTAGAAAGCATTAAAATCTAGACATACATTCTATAATTCTATCATACTAGAAGTGTCAACATACACACTGCGCCCGTAGTTACCTGCTACACATTCAGCGCCATCTTGGCTAATGGCATAAGCTCGGGCTAGTGACTCTTATTTGAAATGAAGGAATAAAATATGAAATTTATAATACCATCCACCATTTTATTCTATAGTACATAGAAACTTTAATTTCAAATATGTAGCCAATATTTATGATTAATCGCTTATATCTTATATTCTAAATAAACGATTCCAATACCTAGTACGCAAAAACGTAATGGACTGTGAAATTGTAACATTCGTTACTTGCACCATTTTAAATTTGCTTTATTAAAACAGATCCCTGAAATTTCGTAAACTATAACAAAAATGTTTTCTCATGATAGTTCATAAACTACTACGAGAAGAAAGATTTTCTCTTGGCACATCTATGCAGTGTCACTTCACACTTTTTGAAAGTATCTAACGTAAAACTTCATGGATGATTCGAGCTACTGCAATTCCAGAATAGCTTCTCTGAGACATGATTAGTACGTAATAGATAAGAAATTAAATACTCTCGTGCTAAAAATATGGGCAACAAACGCTAAAAGAAAATATACGAATGTAAAAAGGGGAATTAAAACATACAATTTATATTTGAGGTAGTGATTGAATCGCTAAATACTAATAGGCAACCAAACCTAGCATAAAACGCAATCCTGTAGACACCACCACAATGCCTTAGAAAGGGGCATGAAGGACTTATGCGTCAGTTCACAAGCAGCGGTAATACCGTATAATCCGAGATAGAAATTGAGGAAAGCACAAGCCAAAGACTCCATTTGGCACAATGAAATGCGTTGGAGGGCTGAGGGGATGTTGCAAGCTGGTTCAAGACAATCACTCTTGCGAGAGAGCTGAATGTGCATCGTTGTGTCATCAACAGGCTGTGGAATCGTTACGAAAGGGATCAAAACCCTTGTAGAGGACGTGGATCTGGACGCTGGAGGATTACAACAGTGACAGACGATCGCTTTCTGTTGCTATGTGCAAGACGCCACGATCACTACGATAGCTCGCGTCGCATCTCTCTGCTGCTGTAGGATGGCCCACATCCGCCAAACTATGTCGCGTCGACTGCATGAAGATGGACTGTATGCCCGACGACCTATGGTTCGTGTTCTTTTGTCCCTATTATATGTCAGAGCGTGGTTGAATTGGGCCTGCGGACATCGCCCTTGGACACTAGAGCAGTCTGGCCACGTACTGTTTACAGAGAAGTCTCAATTTAATATCCAGAATGATTCGCGAAGGGCAATAATACGACGAGAGCCAGAGACATGCTATCGGACGCCAGACTTTGTCAAAAGACACCATTACAGAGAAGGAGGCTTACTTGTATGGTCTGGGATAGCAATGAATGGCTGCACCGACCTCTATGTGATTCCAGGTGGTTCTGTCACAGCCGTCCGATATCGCGAGACGAAATTCTACACTCTCTTGTGCGTCCTTTATCGCTGCAATGGGTGCTGATGACACATTTATGGACCTAATGCCCGCACGCATTGAGTTGTAGTGCTGCGGAGTTATCTGGAGAGAAAAACAATTCCACATCTGCCATGGCCTTCTGGATCACCAGACCTGAATCCCGTAGAGCATGTGTGGGACATGTTAGGACGATGGACAGCAGGTCGCAGTGTGCTGTCAGGCACCCTTCACGAATTCCGACATGCATTACTACAGGAATGGGCGCTACTGCCACAATAAGCGATCGGGGACGCTATTGCCAGCTTGCCTCGCCGTTGTCAAGCATGCATTTCAGCTAGATGGTATCATACCCCTTATTGGCGTGTTGTTTTCATTGCGCGTTCTTCAGACCTGTTTGGTCTTTCTCGATGTGATGGTCGTAATACATGTGCTTCTGTATGTCTTTGTTTTATTGTTTGCTATGGGGTCTAGTATTGACACATCAACTTCCTGATGATCAGTTTCCCACATACCCATTAAATAGCTTTTGTTTTATTTCGTTTTTGTCTTTGTTGCTGATTTTTTTAGCAGGAGTGTAATACTTTTATGAAAAGAAGGCATTAAAGATAATGTTCTGCACAACACTATTCAACACAAAGTTAATAAATTTCAATAAATATTACATTATGTTTTTATTTTCCTATTGTCTTGTATCTTCAAGTTTAGTCAAAGCATCAAGTTTGTTGTTTCATTTAGGAATCTGTTTTAACCATACAAACGTTGAACAACGATTGCAAAGACTTGCTTTTTACGATATACATATCAAAGACAATAGATCAAATTTTGAACAGCATACTAAAAGAAATTAATGAAATTACGAAGCAGATGCTAAAGGCAATAAAGAACTGGAAAATGCCTAAGAAAAATTAAAAAGTCATAGATGATAAACTTTTGTGCACCTTATTTTTTTGGCTGTATTAAAAATCAAATTAAATTCGACAGCCGATTATAACTTACCTGTCTTGGTTGTCTAGCCTCATTAGCAGGTTGCTGACTATGTCGGGGTACTATAGGTATGTCTTCTCTCAAGACATCGTCCGTATATCGTCTGTATGAATCTATATCAATTAATGGTTGCTCCACATAAAGTGCCTGAGTTTTTGGTCTTCGTTGTCGCCTGTATGTTTGTGCAGGAGGGCCAGCATATACCGTAGGAGCTTCATCTGGTCGTACTACAGGAAGTATTAAAGTTTGCGGCCTTGTGTCATCTTCACTGGCTGGAGGTTCTACGAAATATTGTTGTCGTCCGATACTGGGGAAACTTGTAGCAGGTTCAGAATACTGATTTCCTACTGGTTGATATTCGCTAGTTCGAACTGGGGCTGCATTCCTTAGAGATGGATTCTTTAAAACATTTAGTAGAGAATCTTCAGGGACATATATTCCTTCTGGTGCTTCACCAAGACCAATCTTTTCGAACACAGAAGGAGAGTAAACTCTTGGAGCTTGTGGTGGTTCAACGTAAGCCCTTTGTCTGTTACGAGACTGCTTTCTTCGTTGTCTGTTCACTCTGGGGGCTGGAACTGGCTCAGATTCTGGGAAGTATTCTGATTGTGGTGGTGGTGGTTCAGTATAGTACTCTTCTCTATATTTGATGCGTCGCTGTATTCGTTTGACTGGTCTTGCAGGTTCTATATTTTCCCGATTATCTGTTGCATACTGACGGTTTACAGCTGAGGGTGGATTATATTCGTACTGTATAGTACTTTGCTTCGCAACATCTTGCCCCAATTCATCCGCCCCGTCTTCCTCATAATTATAGACAAACTGGCATTTTCCGACGGACAAGATGAAGAAAACTGAAAAATAGAATAATATCCTTTATTTAAATATTATGTTATCACAAAGAAGATAAAAATGGCTAATTAGTGAATAAAGGTCAGCAGTGAAGAAATGAAAGGTAAATATTTTATATTGATACTCTTCAGTGTCAAACATTTATTATTCTAAGATACTCGAGGTTATCGCCTTATGAGGTATGCCTACGTGGAGAATTTCCTAATGAAAACTGGCTTGTATTTACATTGCAGATGGAGAAAAGAACGAAATTACAATCGCCAAGAACCGACGCCGAGTTGAAATATTAATTAGAACAAACCATATTAGCATAGATTATATATCTAAAAGCAGTCTTATGTAAGCATAGCGGATTGGGGGCTTTTTGCTCCATAAAGTTCACCTAACATTATGATAAGCAGTAGTTTTATTTTCTAAATGTAATTTGAAAACAATTTCAAAATCATTAAAATGCTGTATTTCCTTGAATATTTATCACACTCTTATTTCTTGGCGTATTTTTGAAACAAAATGACATTCAAGTAATTTTTGCATCGAAAATACGTCGATAAGTTATTAGGGGCTATCTATACGGAGAAATGAAGCGAAGAAAATTGTCCAGGAATTCAAAATAATGGATATGGCTTGATTCCTGAAGTTTTACCATCTGTTTAAAATGCACTTAACAACTCAATCAGTAAATTTTTCGAAACTGAAATTCAAAGTTTTTACGCAAATCCGATGATTAGAGTCAACCACAGTTTGACGCATAGAGGTACCTTACAATGGTAGAGTTTGAAAACGAGTTGTGAAAGTATCATAGAGATAAGGAAATTAGTTCATTAAGATTTTTAAAAAACAGGTTTTCAAAGTCATGGATGGTTCTACTTATGATTTAATTTGGCAACACGCTTAAAATGATGACGTCTATGAATCCGTGTCACTTTGCAAAACCGATGATTCGTTAGATCAAGAAAATTAGGAATTCAATAATATCATAGTTTACAGTTGCAAATATCAAAGTCAGTTACTTAAAAGTTGGTCTTCTGTTTGTTCCTTATATTGTCAGTAGCTAACCGACAATTTAATTTTCTTTCCAGTTTTAGATTACTCGCGTCTAGAAAAAATGGATTCCTTGCATGCTGTTTATAAAGTATATTTTCAGATTGTTCGAAAATGTATGGGTTAAAATGGAGGCTGGGATGAAATTGAGTAACTACTCGGCTACAATTAAGTAAATTTTCTATCTGTAGAAGATGACTGGATATGCAGAAAAAAAGTGTCTGTGAAGTACGCGCGTGGGAAGAAATTTCCTTGATTGGTGTCTTTTCTTCAAAATAGGTATGATTATTTGGTTTTGCCTGTTAAATGTTTCTGAATGCTAACATGCGGACCTGATTGATATGAAATTTGGCTGTCCTTGGTCATATTCATTCGGCCATTGGTTAGAAGACATATTTTTATAAGTTTTGAAAGTGAATGAACATTCAGTGCTTCATTCTAATAAATGTCAAAATGAATGCATTCATTCATTAAGCGAATTACAGAAACCAGTAACCATATTTATACAAAGATACCCACGAATTGCATATGACCTTCAGAGCCCGTTAATGGGTTTAGTATCATAAAGCCGAAATATGATAGAATGGTAAACGACTACAATGTCGAACTTGAAAATGCGAACTTGATGGATAACTTTTAGTGGGTGACCAGACAAAAACACACTGATACGCAGTCGCATGGACCTCCGACCTAAGGTTCTACACCAATCAGAGTTATGTGTCCATGCGACGGAAAAGAATCTACAATCCACCGCCAGCGGAATTCACTGAATCAATGATAGTAGTATTACAATGCTAAATTGACAGTGTCATCTATACGATAATTGTTACATAATAATCCGTATGAAAATAAATATACGATCAATTAATAATTACATTGTTATAGATAGGATCTATGTTGTGGAGAGTGGAACTTATATATTAACAGTTTTTTAAACCTATGTCTTCTTCAATACATCATAATTTCATATTCTTATCAGTTACACACCTAATGATGTGTGTCCGTATTATTTTTGCAGTTATCCACAGAGTAAGCCAGTCACATCAGTTCAGGCAATTGATAGTTGCATAGCCCAAAGTATATGATGTTGTGTAGGCTATTTTATGTTCACTTTTGTTAAATTCATCGTTCAAGTAAATACTACTTGTCCATCAATCAAAATCGTAAAAAGCAACCTTGTATTTAGCGTAGGTATAATGAAACACTCAATCAATTTCGAGGGCAGCTAAAGGTCCTTTCTCATCAGGAGAAAGAAATACATAGAAAGAAGAAAATAGGAGAAGGAGTCACAGAAACACGTGGTCCGTATCAGCACTACACGTGGTTATAACTAGATTTTTAATCAGAGTTGCACTGGCCGCCTACTTTTACTGAGCCAGGCTATCTGATAAAGCATAAAGGACAAGAAAAATTAGCGAGGTTAAAAATAGGGAGCGAGGGGCAAATGCACCTTCACGCTCAAAATCTGAATTTCAAATAATGGAAAGCAACAACTGAACGGATTTTTATACCCTCTGGTAGTACCAAATGCGAGAAGGTATCGCCATCTATCGGCAAAAATAACTGAATTAAGATAGTAGAATTTTAAAGGCATTAGGAAGGACTGGATTGGACTTCAAATCATTAACTAAACTTGCTAAATCTTTGTGAATGTGAAAAGCCTCAAGAAAATCCAATTCCCCTATGGAAGAAGCCTTTTGGATGATTTTTGTAGACCCAAAATCAAAATTATGGTTAAAAGTCCAGCTATGATACGCTATTGAAGACTTGTTAATTTCGCCTTTTTTGACATAAGATTCATGTTCCTTGATACGAAACTTCAACGCTCTTTTTGTTTGGCCAATATATCTTAAACCACACTGAATCGACCCTTCGATTCTAAAAGATTGCGTTTCTGTCTTGAATTCTTGAGGAATTTATAGTATATCGTGTCAGTGTGGTTTAATATATATTGGCCAAACAAAAAGAGCGTTGAAGTTTCGTATCAAGGAACATGAATCTTATGTCAAAAAAGGCGAAATTAACAAGTCTTCAATAGCGTATCATAGTTGGACTTTTAACCATAATTTTGATTTTGGGTCTGCAAATTCATCCAAAAGGCTTCTTCCATAGGTGAATTGGATTTTCTTGAGGCTTTTCACATTCACAAAGATTTAGCAAGTTTAGTTAATGATTTGAAGTCCAATCCAGTCCTTCCTAATGCCTTTAAAATTCTACTATCTTAATTCAGTTATTTTTGCCGATAGATGGCGATACCTTCTCGCATTTGGTACTACCAGAGGGTATAAAAATCCGTTCAGTGGTTGCTTTCCATTATTTGAAGTTCAGATTTTGAGCGTAAGGTGCATTTGCCCCTCGCTCCCTATTTTAACTTCGCTAATATTTCTTTATGCTTGATCAGATAGCCTGGCTCAGTAAAAGTAGGCGGCCAGTGCAACTCTGATTAAAAATCTAGTTATAACCACGTGCAGTGCTGATAAGGACCACGTGTTTCTGTGACTCCTTCTCCTATTTTCTTCTTTCTATGTATTTCTTTCTCCTGATGAGGAAGGACCTTCAGCTGCCCTCAAAATCGATTGAGTGTTTCATTATACCTACACTAAATACAAGGTTGTTTTTTACGATTTTGATTGTCACATTAGCGTGTTTCTCTTCTAGACTACTTGTCCACTTTGATACATCATAACTTCGTGTCCTTAACAGTTAGCACACCTCATTATGTGCATCCATATCAATTTGTACACTGTGTCGCAATTATCCACAAGACAAACATGAAATTGCGATTGGGAATTTCATTGTAATATGTACACTATTTTACTATTATCCACAGAAGCAAATGTTTTGTAAATAATGACTTGGCTCCCAGATGATAAAAAAAAAGGAAACTAATTCTTAAATTTTTCAATACAATTCTAAATTGTGCAAAACTATAGATTTGTTAAACAGTTCCAGTCAATACAAATTGACCAGTATTCCAACAATATAAAGCACATATTCTAAAATAAAACGTCTAATGGAAAATAGGAACTAATTCCCAATTAAAATAGACATAAAATACATAATTATTCAGCACATATTATATACCAATCATCATACCATAAAAATACCCATGTTTCAAATGCTGCAACTAATTTCTTATTACAGTAGAATATTTACTAATCAAACATACTACAAATGTACATGTTTAAAAAAAAAAAAACTGCAACTAATATTTTTCATGGCAGTTAAAATAATAAATTTCTATTATACAATTATAAATAGCACAAATAAACAATTTCAATCTATACAAATTGGCAGGTATTCCTACAATATAAGACCACATATTCAAATATAGCTAATCATTCTTGTAAAATGGCTATAATAGTGCCCAATTTCTTCAAATAATTAAAAACATCTACAGGAAAACAGGAACCAATTCCCAATTGTAACAAACATGAAATATCCAAAATTATTCAGTACATATTATATACCAATCAATTATACCATATAAATGCACATGTTTCAAATACTGCAACCAATTTTTCATTACAGTTAGTATATTCCAATTTTCCAGCTAATAAAATAAATCCGCTCTAAGTTGAATTGGCTGTAATAGTTCACAATGCTTAAAATAGTTAATCTACTGGAAAACAGAAACTTATACCCAGCTGTGATGGACACGATATACATACAAAATAATTAGATACAGCTCTAAATTCCTGTTCTTACTGAAAATGCAGATATTCTAAGAACTGTAATGAACTTTTTTCTCTTTTTTTTTTTTTTTTTTTTTTTTTTTACACAGTCAGAATATTCCAGTTTACCAGCTAACAATAATTGTAATTAACTTACAAAAATTGCAAAAATAATACAATAATAACAAAATGGCAAAAAAATAATAAAAGGAACAAAATAATAACTATAAAATAACAAAAAAATTCAGAATTAAAGGCTATAATATTAACATACAAACAGACAATTC